GAGAGTCTTTTTATACTGTTACTTCCTTTTCTTTCCTTGCTCATATTTTCGAATAACTACATGTAGGCATGTATGTACTTGCCGTTTGGTACAATGAATGCAGATTGACTTGGTCCAGAGACCAAAGTAAGCAGAGCCAATGAGTACCACGATTTTCGGAATATAAGCCGCAGCTAATACTTTGATTTTCACAATGAAAAATGTCCCTGCCACTCATACACTGGTTGGCTCATATGACAACATTTGAAACATGAAATGTAAATATCCTCCCGTGCCCTGCCTCCACGCATAACACAGCATAGCCCAAGCTGCGTCGGCCAGCCATGCGATTTGTCTTTCATTGGTTGCCGTGTACATTCGCTCTTCTGACTTGTTTGATATAAAGGAAACCAGTCCAGAGGGACTAAATAGACTTGTGAATATAACATAAATACCGTTCACACCTCACAAATCGTGTGGTGCGTCTGCTTGTTTGTCTTTTGAGGTTGTGCAATCCATGCTGTTTATTACCTTCACTAGTCATTTGGTTACTGTTAAATACAAAACGAACTGCTGCATGGCTCACCCAGAAAGAACACTCACCCAGGCCGCAAAATTGGCAATCTTGAGGGCATGAGAAAGTTTAGGTTCAATTTTAATACTCGTTGGTGGGCTGCTAGTAATAACAATGGAAGATGTCGTACCTAAAAGTGGCGCAAACCCTACCATTGGGCACTTTGCTTTTTCGCTGCTAATTTTAGTGGATTTTTGAGATTTTTCCTGCCAATTTCACAAATGGGGAACTTAATGAAAGTCCAAATATTCTGATTCATAACTCAATGTCATATACATGTACCTGCTACAAAGTTCAGGGGACATTTTATTTTGGCCCCAGTTTCCGATTTTTTTTTCTGAAGTGCAAAGTGAACTCTTCAAATGCGTCACATGAAGGTGCCACATAATACTCTGGCTCTACATACACTGGCACTTCAGCAGTGCAGAGCGTGCGATGACTTCGACGTGTCAACACCGCAGTGCGGCTTATACCCTGCAGCTGATATGCCGACTTTAAATTTTAATGTGCACATTTTTGCTTGGCGTGGCAATACTCTGTGTGGCCTACATTCCGAAAACTACAGAAAACACATAAGAACCTTTTTATTCAACTAGTATCTTTTTATTCTATATCTATCCATGCCACACAGTGACAATGAATCGTCTTTCCAATGCTTCTTCTCAACTCGTCATTTCTGTTAATCCAGGAGAATGAAGGAAATAAACATTAAAAACAAGGACACCAGAAACTGAAGAGAAATGAGTGATATTTGTTGGGAGACACTACAAAAATGTATGTGTATTACATTTTTAAGGCAATTTTGCGTCAAGCACTTTCCAAATCTTTTTGGGCAATGCCAGCATCTTCTCACAAATCCTTTAATCCCATGTCAGTAGGTTTCACCATCTTCATTCAAAGCCCCAAACCTTTGTTCGCATGCGTCAGACCAGGGTAGCACACAATACATATACTATAGGTCACTGGGTCTGATACTCTCCACCAAAAAGTCAATCTCAGTTGTTCTTTTACTGATATCAATCGTTCAAACAATTCAATGAATCAACAAAAGGAGGAGATATCCAATGTAATGAAAATATCCACAGATATAAGAATTCCAAAACCTACGAGGCTGAGTCCCCAAAGATAGTGTTTATCAACACTGACAAGTGATACCACTAATCCTTTAATCCTGTAAATTACACCACAAAAGTAGCTTTTTGTTTGAGATGCTTTTCCCCTTCCAACTCGGCTCTTTTGTTGCAAACAACCATGGAAAATCTGAGCTGGAGTTGACCTGAATATTCATGGTGTATTGCATTTATGTATGGTGTCAAACCCCGGGTTACCCCGAAGTTCAACCCTGAGTTACCGCTGGTCACAAAAGGAATTCTTCCCTAAGTTTGTTGACAATTCTGAAAGGTATTTACAGTCTCCACTTTACTCAAGCACCCCTGCTTTGATGCACGGTGTATAGATGCAATGAGGCACTTTGAAATGATCACTGATGTCTCCATCAGTGATCATCAATTGTATTTTAACAACTGCACAGTCACTTGACCTGTGAATGGCGTACTATGTGCCACTGACAAAAAGTTTGGAGCACCTTTCCTGGTCTTTGATGGCAAACAGTCATTTCTGGATGCTGCAACCACGCCAGTGAGAGGACAGGGATTCCCTGGACACACAGCCACAATTGTGAAATCGCCTTGTTGGATAAATGACGAAGTTTAATGCACAAGGGCAACACATGAAGACTGATACAGAACATTTTCGAAATGAGTGGATTCAGCTTAGACTTTGCTGGTTCTAGCCATTTTGAAGCAGTGTTCTAAACCACATGTTCAAGCTCTGACTGGAACCAGCAAAAGTCAAATCTACTGGTTTTGAAAATGCAGCAAAACAAAGACTGAGGGTCAGATGTCACCAACTCCAGAGGGAGCAATTACTACTACTGACGATCAGTGTTGTAAACCAAGTCATTTTTTTCCAAGTCAAATTTTAGCAAGTTAAGTCAAGTCTTGAGTCAATTTTTCTAAATAATGTACATCAGAACTAAAGTTATACCCGTTTGTAATTTCTTTGTTTTGTTCAGTACTTTATTGGTGGTATCTTTCACTCTTCAAGCTGACCGCCCTTAAATGATAATGACATGGCTTGCCTGTCTTAGTGTTTGTTTGTTGGTTGAACATGCACAATATTCACAATTTTTGAACCCAAAAATCACCACTTTCGGAGAAGACATGGTGTTCAGTAGCAATGTGTTGGGCAAGGAACAAAATTGGTTCCTGCCGTCATCGTTATCTACGTTCGTGCGGGAACCAGTTATAATAATAATGTTTGGTGCGCGTGTGCGTGATCTCAGTGCAAGAAGAGAAATCATACTACTGGCATCTAACCAGTGAATTTTTTTTTTTCAAAATGTAATTTCCCCCCCAAAAAAATATTTAGGGTTTTTCTATTCAAATGTATTGTTGTCCATGCAATAGAATCTGACATAAGAGATTGTGAATTCACTGTTCCAGGTTGGCGCATGGATTGGTGATGGTACATGTTGTCGTTTTGCAGTCTTCACGCACCTAGTGGTAAACCACAAACAGTATACAGTTACATGGGCTCTATAGAAAGACCGTTCTTAACGATGTAATCAGACCACGCATAGGCCTATGCCCAGGGCCCACACAAACTTCATACAGCTTGCACACGCCATGCGTGACGTATGCATGATGTGCGTTGGTGCCAGTGGAGGAACGCAATGCGATGCCACACATGCTTCTTTTGTTAGTTTGTATTTTTATTTATTTTAAGAAAAGATTTAATATCAACAAGTCATTTTTTTTCAAGTCAAGTCAAGTCTCGAGTCTAAAAAATAACGACTTGAGTCCGACTTGAATTCGAGTCAGGGACTCGAGTAAAAAACACTGCTGATGACATACTTCCATTTAAAATATATCACTGAAATAAAGTAATGTTTGTCAAGTACGTCAGAAATATAAAAAGTTTAAAAATTGTAATTTTTGGAACAATTTTGTTCAAAAGTTTCACTTAATTTTTTCAATATTCCTCTAGCTATTTATGGTCTTGGTATATGGTGATGCACATCCTGCATGAGGTTGTGCACAGTGTGCTTTAAGACTATTTAAGACTTGCCATGTGACAGCCCCTTGACAAATAAGAATGGCTAAACTGGTTTGGGCACTTGTATGGACAAGAGCGTTTGGATTGTGCAAGTTTTCTCTTGACATGGTATCTGTTTTTGCAAGTTTGTTTTTGTGAGTTGGCATCAGAGTTGACACATTTCACAAAAGTTTTAATTCAAGCACTGCCACGCAAAACGATCTGGGTGCCTAAGTTCCTCTGTGTTTTGCCCGCTACGTCAATCTGTATATAGTCAAAGCATCCAACACTGTCATTTGATTCTAGCTAGTGCCAGTTTAACTAATATCATTCCGGCATTAATCAATTATCCCTTTCAACATCCATTTGACAGAAGTAGAAGTCAAAACACAATGCCCAGCTGCAAAATGGTTAATGATTCTCACTATTTTGTTATTTTGCATGATGTATACACTCTAACTATGCAAGCTCGCAAAACCATTTCATTCAGGAATGTAACTGGTTCACAATTTTAACTTGATGAAAGTGAATACGCCTCACAAACTGGAATTCACATGCAAGTCTAGTGTCTACTGCACAAGTATATAATAGGCACTGCTTACACAGTGCCCTGTGCTATGTGGAAATCAAATTGTTGGGCACATGAATTATAGCATGGAGATATGAAAGCACTGTATGTGTGGCTTTATGGCAAATTTGGCCTTCGAAAGTTTTGGTGCACTAAGTTCCCATGTATTAACCAGTTGGCATTAGACACTCTTACCCCAAAAAGCTGCTGGGGAATTTTTTTCCTGGAAATTCTTTAACCTGGCAACCTAGATTGACCAAATCAGGCATGACATATTACCATAAAAGGTCAAAAACAAAAACGAAAAAAAAATTCTTAAACGAGTGTACACATCCTCCATTGTGTGTTTACATTTTAAAAAGAGAGGTCTATTTAAAGATGGTAACACCTGAATAGTAAAGAAAGAAAGAAATCAATATCAAAACTACTGTTCCTGAACCAAGTACAGTTAAAACCTGCTGCAAACTGCTTTTTGCTTGACATCATCTTTTAATAATGATAGCACTTTTCCAAATTGAAAGTACTGGAATATAGGTAGTACTTTCATAATGGCTATGCAATTTGTTTACATTAGTACAATATCAGTAGAGGGCACTGTGTAAAAACAGCACTTGTGAAAAGGCTCTTATGGGAAAAACTTATGGGGGAAAGGAGCAGTTGTGACCAAGTACTATAGGTAAAAACATACTTATTGGGCAAAAGGCAATTTTTATAATATTGGGGTAAATATCTCCTTAACATCTTGCTGCCCCACTGAGAAATAAATATAAGTATCCCACAAACCTCTTCGGGCATATCCGTGTCAGTGATAGTGAACTCATACTTCTGCCGCTCCTTTTCTTGCTCCCATGACTCAAGTATCTGCAGGTATTTTGCCATTTCAGTCTCATTGGTAACCTACAGGAAGTAACATGTGTTTGAAGCAAGGTTACTGATTTGATTGCTCTTCTGTTGGAATTAAATCGTGCATGCATTCTGAGTGACACTGCCAAAGTATCAGACTCTTAACTTTTAAAATCTTCAGTCACATTTATGCCAATGCTGTGTATCCATGGGATGTCAGAATGCAATGTCCCATGTCGCTTCTTCCACAAACATTGAAATATACAGTGAGACATCAAAAAAAGAAACAAGTTTGCAAACTTTCACAGTTTGCATGCTCTGCCTACCTTACACTGCTGATATATGCAGTAATGAGAAGTATGTGAAGAGTTCTTTTTAAAAATGATATATTAAAATGTGAAGACTTTCCACAATTATGAAAGTAGACAAGTTAAAGCAGTATACCAGGTCCATGTGTGCCTAATAGACTTCAAATTCGCTTGTTTATTATGTCATATTTTGCATACCTTTCAAAAATGAATTGGGCAGCCAGAAGAAGGTGAGATCACAAGGTAACGAAATGGTGCTTATTGTGAGTTTTGAAACAAATTCCTCATACAGGGGGTAAGTTGAAGTTGAGGATAAAATCTCTCAACTTCAACAAAAAGAAAGTAAACCAAAGGCTTTTCCCAATAACCACCAAAAGAGGACATTGTTGGCAGCTTGTGTAATAGTTAAAATTTCTAAATCTATCTGTTAATGATTGATTTGTAATTTAAGAATTGTGCAAGATCTGGTTAAGTGTCAATTTCTCTCCATTTGATTAGAAAATAACTAAATGTGCTTTGAAACCCAAACAAAGTAACATTACCTCACACACGATATCCAGGTCATAGAATGATGGCTCTCCGATGGCAATAAATGTTACTTTACATGTACAGCATTGTGCAGGCTGCAATTCTCCAGTGACAGGTTGAATGTCTATGATCTGACGATGTGTCTCTGAAGTCACATACCACTCAAACGACAAACTAAGGGATAACAAGTCACAATATCTTCATCAACTAAGACAAATCAATTCTGGAACATCCTGTCAAGGTCATTCCATCCTTGAACCTTACCCATTTTATCCATGTAGGTACATACAGTTGTGATCAAATTTACACACACTTGGTCTGGACGTGTTTTCATGTAATTACAGTTTTTAGATTTTAAAACTGAAACAATTTCTTGACAACCTTTCTTTTTCTGCTGCTGATCAGCCAGCACATCTACTTTATTAACATGAACCTATAAGTAATAACACAAATAGGTATTCTGTGAATTTCCGTTTGATCAAAACAGAAAAGGAATGGCTGCCATGAATATATTAACTCTCTAATGCTGGTATGAAATCATTCAGTTCTCATCTATATTTATTCCTTCATAATTTTATTATGTGAAATTAATCGATAAAATATTTGATACACTTTATGATGGCCATACCTTTTGGTTATATAAGTACATGTATATGGATTTCATTTTATGCTTTTATACATGTACCCTATTTGTCACTCATCTAATTATATAGTGATATTCATAAGACGTTCAGCATAATCTTAACCCCTTTAACTTGCGGTTTTGTGTGAGGATTAGTGCATACTACATATACATTCTATTCATCATTTACACCCTGCAGAACGCCGTGTTAGCGTTGTGCATTGTTGGCAATCTCCCTGGTACCCAGCAGACTAACTCTGTTCGACCATCACAACATCCCTTTGACTGGGGACCAACTAAAGATAGCTGTAACCACACCCAGGACATTTGCCAAACCGACAAGTAAACCACCAGTGAAATTTGTCGCGTTTGGAGATCCTTGAACTTTGACCAAGCCCTCGTAATAAATCATGCAGACTACTAAGTAAGGTGTGGGAAGTTTTGAAAACTTTGAACATTTGCAGAGTCAAGAAAAAACTGTTGTTTTCATTTTTTTTTTTTGCTATGTCTTGTTCGATTTTAAGTAGTTTATTACCATATAGTACGGTCTTCCTTTTTTAACTTCATTACCTTGTTCGTATGTTCAGGCCCTTTTTGACCTAGTTGTGCTGGCAGGGTTCGTTGTGTAAATGTTTATTTCATCTATAAATGTATTATAATATAATTTGAATTTGATTTTAAATTTTTTTTATGATCATGTACATGAAATGCAATTCTGCCTTTAGCTGCAATGTTTCTGTCTTTACCAATAATAATAATGATGCTGCTGCAGTTTCAATGTGGGCCTGCTGCTGGACAGAGCTTTGCATACTGGGCATACATACGCACAGTAGTGTGGGTCGAGTCTACTAGAGAATACCTACCCAAACAGTCGGTACATAAGCAAATTTACAATGCACGTACAGCTATTTGCTGAAAAGACTTGATCATCCATGGTGCCTCTTGACCTAACACTACGCACTGCGGACACGCTGACATGTTCGTTCTTCTTTTCAAAAGCGACTAGGAATGTCGTAGCCACGTGAGGAGGACAGGTGGGAGAGGACTGTTTGGGTAGGTAGGGGAGGAGGGGAGCAATTGGAACAGAGCATTGCCTCGGCACGACTTGTTCATTGCAATTGCCACGGCCCTCTTTTGTAGCCTCGTCACATAGATTTCATCCACTGACGGCAGCAGCTGACCAACAATCCTGGACGCCATCTTCACAACCCGCTGTAAGAGTGGTTCCACCATACCAGACCGTGACGGAGTGCGTAAGAACGCTCTCCACCACCGACCGATAAAAATTAACCAGCACACGCTGTCCAAAGCCAAAGCTCTTCATCCGATGTAGGAAGAAGAGCCACTGCTGGGCCTTTTTCATGCAGTGGTTAACTTGTGCTGACCATGTCAGGTCGCTCGCGAGGTGAATGCCCAGGAACTTAAAAATATTGACTCTTTCGACTTCTAAAGAGTCAACACAGGAAAAATCAAAGTTTTGTTCCGATGAAAATAAACTATCATCTCCTGGGTTTTAACAACATTCAACTCGTGGTTGTTCTCTGAGCACCATCCCACGAACTCCTCAACCTGACAGCGATATTCACTTTCGTCACTGCATTGAATCAGGCCCACTATAATCGTGTCATCAGCAAACTTAGTTACTATATCATTACCAATTGAAACGCAATCATACGTCATCAGTGAATATAACAATGGACTCAAGACACAACCCTGTGGGGCTCCAGTATTCAGTAATCTCGTTACAGAAAAATGATTACCAATTCTTACTCGCTGAGGCCTAGCTGTCAAAAAGTCAAATATCTAGTGGCACAGGGCATGAACCAAAATATTCAAATTTACTAATTTACTGAACAACTTATGAGGTAGAATGTTGTTAAAAGCAGAACTAAAATCAATAAATAATAATCGAACATAGGACGGTTTACTAATATCAAGATGACGAAAAACATGGTGAAGTGTAAGTGACACGGCATTATCACATAACCTATTACACTGGTAAGCAAACTGTTGTGGGTCCATAGAATAGGGCAAAACAGATTTCATAAACTTGAGAACTAAACGTTCAAAACATTTGCCGACTTGTAACTTGTTCGGCAATTTAGTCCACCTGACGCTTGAAATGAGAAAAATGCAGAGGGGGAGTTTTAAGGGGGTGTGTCAGATTTGCATTTGTAGTAATATTTAGAAATTAGCGAATTTGGGTTTTTGGGTGATTTTTTTACTGTTTGTACCAATCCATTGATTTATTTCACATTTTGATTTAACTGCTTTGAAAAAAATCCAAAAAATGATGATCGTTTTTGGTGTTCAAGGAGCAGCTCAAGTAAATTTTCTAGCAAAAATCCACGGACCATCGGACCACAGGATGTTGTAACAGAATCACCTGTAAGGCAGTGGAGATCAGGATTTGCAGTTCTCCGACAGAAATTTGAACCCCATTTATTCAGTTCGAGGATCGAACTCGACAAATTTATTTTGAAGTTAAACTCTCTTCTTTTGAAAATATAATGATGTGACGTGGATTCGAAATATGAACAACACTTGATCATGCAGCTGCACAGCGACCAAATTGTGAGTCACGGCACCTCAACAAGCTTGCACGTTGTACAGTCATTGTGCAGTTTCTTTACTGCACATAAAAAGGCACTCTGCCTCGTTGCATAGTCACTGTCCAAACGTTGTCGTTGCACGTAAAAAAAAAACCAATCCAATAAAAAAATGAGGCAAATACTCGTGTATTATTGACATAGAGATCATCTGCATAAACAGGAGAATAAATATCTGGAAATGGCAAGTTAAACACGGCCATCGCAGCGGACCTCGAAAACAAGTGGATGTGTTTAGTGGTTTGGGTTATAACATTATCTCTGAAGGGGTGATTATAAGACAGTATACTGTTTTGCCAGTGCTAGCACTTTTCCAGTCTGAAATAATCTCTTAAAATGAACTGAAATTCTTGAGGTCACCAATTACAACTCTAGATGAATTTTGACAGTTTACAACGTGTTTGAGTTGTGCCGCCAAAAGCGAGTTCACGGATGTTTTTAATGTTACTTGCTCATATATTGCATGGAGGAATAAAAACATATCGGTAGCTCTTCCAATGAACAAGCACAATTCACCTTTTTTAAATCAGTCAAGTGCGGACCTGCTCAAATGGTTGTGAGATTTCAACGAATTGCATTTTCCAAAAATCGTCCGGATGAACGGTTTTTGAAAAATGGGCAAAACTCTGCAAAAATTTGTTTTTTTAAAAAAACGACAACACTTCAGGCAAAAAAATTTACAGATCTTTTGACTTTATTATGTATTTACTTTCCACGTGTACTCATTTTGCAAAGTTGTCGCTTACTAACAGTGGCATAGCGAAGGCAGTGTACTAATCTATTAGGCAAAAAAGAACCGATTACGACTAAAGTTAGCAGAATAATCCTTAAAATACTCCAGGCGACTAGGCTATACTTTATCTATTTTTTGCTTACAATAAAACACTAAACAGTTTCTCTAAAACTATGTGTACGAAACAATTTTCCACCCATGCAGATCCAGACGGGCCGTACCCGCGCACACCCTCAGGCACCAGTCCAATGGCGATTGTTTTGTGCAACTGGTACACTCTCCTTCTACAGCACAAGTGCACGTACATGTACAGTTGACTCCCGTTATTACGAGGGCCGGCGGACTTTCACAATTCTGTCTTTATAGCCGGAGCGTCGTTAAAATCGGAGCGCAATTTTTCACACTCATTTTGCACAAGTTTATAGCCATGTACACGTCTGTTGGAATAATGTACAGGTACACCGATACCGCACGCCGAACAAATGAAAAGACGATGTTATGTGTCTCTTATTGATGCTGAATTTTATCTTATGTTAATGAATAAAATGATATAAATAAAGTGAATTTAAAAGTCAAATATTTGACAACCTGGATCAGAAGAAGCCGAGAAGAATAGCCAGGTGAGAAGAAACATTCAAGTCCGTGCCGGTAAGTACCTCACACGTCCTTAGTGTATGCTTTGCTTTCATCATGAATTGGCTAAAACCAGTCAAAAGAGGGTGCAACTATTACCAGTATGTCCGGGGGCGTAATGTCATTAAATTAAAGATCGGCGAGATGAAACAACATTATATTGAAGTTCTTACAAAGGTGCATTGATAAGGCATTGACAGACAGGGAAAACGTATGATGCCCAAATCGGGACAAAAGATTTATCATTGACAGCTGCAGATAATACGGTTTGGGAAAAAAGTCACAGTAAATGGGTTGACCACAATACTTTTACTGGCATGGGGTCCCCACAAATCGTCGTTGTAGGTGGAGTCTCGCAATATTAGTGCACGTAATAACCAAATATTTCTCCATAGCAATGAACACAAATTGTTCGGGATTGGGAGAATATGCTCATTGCATCCGGGTTATCAATATGATCGAGCTTGTAATAACGGGAGTGGACTGTACCACGGAGAAATGCATATTGCACAGTAGGCTGCATTCGCGCGTCTACTTGGTATCCGTGTGTGGATGCACGCGCATTACTCTCGGGTCAGGAGAATACTCCTATCCTGTGTGTCGGCAGGGAGTATACTCTCGCTGACCCTCACCCCACCCACCTGCCGTTCGTGTGCTCAGGAGACTACTCAGTTAACACGAATAGCTTGCTCGAATGCAACATTGACGTAAACACACGTACCTTGAACCATGAACCTTGTGTATGTAAGGAAACTGAGTGGGACCATGCGCGGCAATCGCGACTACTTGGAACTCTCTGAGGTTTAAGTCAAACTGGTGTTCCCCTTACAGAACATTCTGCTACATACGGGAGCATCCATGAATCCCACTCTGACATGGCTGTGCTTCAGCCTGAACAACAGACCGGGTCGCCTAAAGATGACATCGACTTTGTGGGCGATTTTCCCCTTTCAGTTTCGATATCCTTTCATGACAGTGATGCTGATCCTTCTTGGGCCACATCCCCATTGTTTTCTAGATGACCCTTATAGAGGCAGTACCAGGCCACGGAGCCCGCCGGCCATTTGTGCGGTTGGGGTCTCTGAATTCTGTACACCCTGTCTTCCCGCTACCTTCTGAGAAGACTAATTCTACCCTCTTGGTCCCCCTGCCAGCTCTGGGAAGACCCCCTTGTAGAGACAGTGCCAGGCAATGCGGGTACAACACTGCCTGCATCCTGGGCATTGGTACCGCCATGAATCACAAATCTCCCCATTTAGGCTGCGTGTCTGACAAGAACATGCCGAGAAAAGAAGGACGAACATGGTGGTATGACGGCAGTGCATAGTGGGAGGTCAAGGGGCACCATGGATGATCAAGTCTTTTCATTAAATAGCTATATGCACATGCAAAATTTGCATATATAATGACTGTTTGGGTAGGTAGAGCGCCGTGGACTACACAATTACAAACCATAAGGAAGAAGGCCGAGTAGTATGGGGCACAATACATTGTTCCATGTTACAGGAGTGTGCATGTGATAGCAAATTCATCTTCAAATCAATTTGATGCACAGTAAAGGTGTTATAGAGGCCTACACGCATATGCACAAATGCACCACCTTTGAATTCACTGTAAATTTTGCAGATGTGCATTTGCTTTTAGTGTAAAAATAGTGCAATGCGTTGCATTAGCATAGCACATTTTGCGAGGTTTGATATGAGCCATCCAACACAGTTATATATCACACTGCTTGTTGCCATGGATTGACCAATCAGAAATAAGAATTCAAGTTTGCTTGAAGATAAAAGGTGATACAAATAAATAGATTATAGAAATACAGACATGTTTAAAAACCCTGAAGTACTTATTTTTGCTTCAGAATGATTGAAATGTCTCTAATGGTTGAAGTAAATAGAGACTTAATTTGGCTTTAGATAAAAGAGTTTAGTGTGCATGTTGCAGAAATTGGACCATACAGAACAAAGACTCATGTTTATGGAACTTGAGGTTCACGTAATTACTAGAAAAAGCAAAGACATGAAAAATGACTGAACCGAATACATGAAGGTTGGCGTTTGTCTGTAGCATTTATTATTATAAACTAAAACTTGTCTCAAATTACTCAAGGCAGCTACATGAACACTCCTACACCTGCAATCAAAAGCTAAGGTAGAAAAAAAATATTAGCTTATCAGTGTCAGTTTATGTGGGGCAAGTTGAATGATTCTGGTGAACATGTGGCAGAGCTAGAAAATAGATTTAGATTACCAGTTTCCTTGTATTTTTCTGTGTTTCCCTGTTTATTTACTTTGGCCCTTGCTTCAACCCATATAACTTGCCCTGTGCTCTGACCACATTTACTTTGGAGAGCAGACTAGCAGAGACATTGTTCTTGTATTTGTTCTTCTGGCTCCTCACTTGAGTGTACTTTTCTGCCTGAGTCAGGCTTCTGTCTGCTTCTAAAGAGTCAGTGGTGAGTTTCTCACCGTTCTTATTTCTGTATAGTTATTTTGTGTCTGTTTTATCATTTAGTTAAAACAGTTTTGGCAACCTTTTCCTGATGGTTGTTGATTTCCATTAACTTTCTCTGACAAGTCTTGAAGTCGTATTGCTGTTTGGAGCTTTGGAGCCTTATAAATTTGCTTTTGGATTTTGCACAATTTTGTCTGTATAATGCCTTAATCCCTAGTTAATTCTGCTCCAACTTCCTTTACTTCATGTACTAGATATCTTTTGCTGTTTTCTTTACCTTTTTTTTGCTTCAAAGTCTCCTCACTAGATGTATATTGACACATTGTGTTGATTTTTAGTCCTTTTAAAGTTTTAGTCTTTTGGTATTAAGTCTTTGCAGTCTTTTAGCCATTTTGGTTTTTCCATTTCTCGGGGGGTACTTAAAAATTCTTTGTGTCCTTTTTTAACCACTTCGCACCAGGGGACCTGCAATTGGGTACCTTAACCACTCCCTGCCAGGAATTCCGGATACGGACACTTATGCTTTATATGTGTGGCTGGCGTCTCCAAACTTGGACAAAGGGAACAGGGCCTTGTAACAAAAGACCGTACTCGGAACAAAAGACCAGGCTGTGGGCATTACTGACATTTTCCCACTCTCAAAAGTGGAGATAATCCAGCCTTGTTTTGAAACAGTATACCACAGTATGGGGCATTTAGAGTGAGCTGATTACCACCGGGGACAAAAGAACTCCACCTCTGCAGCGATGAGCCACACGGCACCACTGCATGCTAATCTGGCCCATATTGAAAAGAGGTCAGCAGCACACTGAGCCAGGTTCGTGAACAAAATAAAGTTATATAACACCACACAATCTGGGCTCTCTTTACAAAGTCGCAGGCCTGGCTGAACTACACAGGAGTCAACAGATGTTGCCTGTCAGATTAAAGTAACCACCAGACAGTCATTCATTTGGGGTGTACACGTCCAGTAAATTAAGTAATGAATTTCTAAAGAATTTTGAAAATGGAAAATCTTGAAAAACACCTGTATTTGTGCATGGCCATTTTAATTGAACCCGGCAGCAAGTGGTCAAAGTCAAATACTGGTGTCTGCGTCCCTATGAATTCAGTTTCCTGTGACCTTTCCCTCAAAGATCGTTGTTTTAGTTAGAATTTTTGTAGTTATTTTGCAAGCTTCCCTTAGGCGGCAACGTGAAATTGACTTAGTGTTATTCTGTGTCTTGCCCACGTTCTTCCCAATCAGTTGGGCATTGTCAAGGAGGGCGAGAACACGCGTCCTGCATGGGAGCGTGCACTCAAGCATGGCAGAGTTTAATGAGCTGAACCAGGGCTGGACCGATCATAGTAAGTGTCATCCAGACAAAGGGAGCTGTAAATAAACATGAGCTGAGGGGACGGCTCATGAATATGAACCACCTGCACACAGAAAGACGGGCAACTCAAAATCACAATTAAAAGATTTTAGCGACAAACTATTCCATCTATCTCGATGGTTTACGATGATAAATCTGTAGACCTGTGACTGTTTTCAATATTTAGCTATAGTACCACCACCCTGGTTGCCGTCTTCTGGGCAGTCACCCTTGTGTAGTTCCACTGTAATCATTGACTAGTGTACGTTGCAAACTCAAATAGGCTATTCAGAATTATTTTATTTTCGCTCTGGTTTATTTCAAATTAGTAGAAGCAGACAATTGAGTTGAAGCATGCTTTCACAAAATCATAATACATAAAAATAACTTGCTTACTGCACTTTCTGCCTAAAGATTTAAAAGCTGTAAAGCAAAAAAACACAAGGTTCAGAACAAGCCCCCAAATCATTTCCCCATTGTTCAGACAGGAACTAAGCAGCCACGGTTTTTAGTTCGTTCACCCCTTGGACTGACTCCACACACCGACTTCAGTGGACTATTCATATTTAAATTAACCTTCCTGCCACTGAGGCTGGCCGGCGCCCCCGCGGAATCTCGGGTGTATTAATTTATTGTTATTGCCAGGGGCTCTTTTGTTAACTTAGTCCTCAGGATCCTGAGTTTTAGACGTGGGGCGGAACAGTCAGTCAATTTCACGTTGCTGCCTTAGCGTGCCATTTTTTCACACTACAGACACACTCTAGTTTCATCGTATTTCCTGAGGAGTCTTTATTACTGAATACACTACACACATCACTACATACCTGTGACTTGGTGAACGATTGACCATCTCAATGACACGGTGGGACTGACAGAACAATGGTACATTCCCAAATGCAACTCGTTCCAGACTCAGGTACACTAGCTGGCCTGGCATGGGGATGGCCTGCATGGGTGGTACATCATTTAACTCCATTCCAGCTGTCATGGGCATAGATTTTCCCATGATTCTCTTATCATAACCAACTCCAGTAAAAGTGATCAGAGCTGTGTCACCACCGATGATATGGATAGGTACATCAACCTGGGGATGAGATATTTGTCAGATGATGCAGTAATTCTTTCCTGGGCAACAATCTCCCCCTCCCCCCACCTAGAGCGGGCCGAGTCTCCTAAAGAATACCTACCCAGAGTACCAATACATTTGCATATTTCCCTCGGCTATTATGCCAGCCGCAAAGTTCTCGATCAACTAGTAGTGCACCCTCATTTCCCACAATGCCTAGTTGATGGCCACCATGTTCTACTCTTTTTCGAAGTGCATAAGCATTAGGGCAAAGTGGGGAGGAAGGGTGGGAGAGTAGTAAATTGGGTAGGTATTGTTCAGTAGACTCGGCCAACTCTAGGTTGGGGAGAGTCTACATCCTTCAACCTATCCAGATTACCACTACACTTGCAGAATTGTACCACACCTGAGGTGGGTAGGCGACGTCGCACTACCATAAAGTATGTAAGTGATAATCCAAAGATATTGTGAGAATAAAAGGACTGTCAACTTAAAAACAGGAGTAAACCCTTGACTCACCTTAGGAGGTTGCTTGAGTATGGTGATAGTTGCTTGCAGGGGTATGGGATGGCCGGCATCAGAGTTACTGCAATGCTGTCCTAAAGAGGACCAGTCAATGAGAGTGGTTCCCCCTGCAACACATCACTGAGATAACGAGAGGTGAATGTTGATGGGGATTTCAAACGTGCTGATTTACAAATGTCGGTGACTTGAATCCACCTAAAATAAGCCCGGAAGGAGGACGCAGCTTGGACCTTGTGGTCACAATTATGATGTTTGTATCGCTCATCCGGGCTGGTAGGCCAAGCTCCGTTAGCAAACTTAATAATGTAGACAACCCACCTGGTAACCGTATCCCTGGAGGCCGGATGGTGAGGTTGTGTAGTGGTGATGAATAGTTGAGAGGCAGATCCCCTGATAACCTTCGTTCTTTCTATGTACCATTTCTGGGTGCAGACGGGGCACCTGAGGAAGCTGAGTGTGAACTGTGTGGGTGTGGCTGAGTGTGACTGGATTTCAGGAACAAAAATGTCCGAGGACTGAAAGAAAGTGTCTGATTTTTTGTGAGAATCCCTACTGCTGGAACAAATCATACCCAGAGTGGCTCCATCTAATGTGGCCATCATATATGAAGAAAGCTTTGATTTCACAGTCCCTCAGTTATACTTAAAGTGATACTTAATATTAAGCTTGATATTTGAGTGAAAGAGAGACCCATCATGTGGGTTTAAACGCAGGGCCAGCCAAGACTCGCAGAACATCCCCTACGTTCCAGGACAGGATGAGATTCTTAGACGGAGGGCATTCTATGAACATTAACACCCTGAGAAGGTGATGGATCGTTGAGTTGTTGGGGATGGTCGAAGTCGCTTTGGCCCTAACAGGGCGATGAGGAGGATGCAGCAGTTGTCCTATTCTATCTTGGAGAGTACCCTTGGAATGCACAACAACGGAGGGAACGTGTATGCTAGAAGCCCTTCCCAGGAGATGTATAAGGTGTTGGTCGCTCATACTTGGGGATTGAGTGCAGAAGGTCAGGAGTTGGGCATTCAGGTGGGACACAAAGAGATCCACGTGAGGCCTATCAATCATGAAGAATAGTGTCCGACTACCTCCAGTTAAAGTGTCCACTCAATAGGATGCACCATGCTTTGAGAAAGAGCATCCACTAGGTTGTTCTCTGCTCCAGGAATGTGTTCAGTGCAGAGACCTACGGAGCGTTCTATGGTCCAGTGAAGAAGGTGCCAGGGTAGGAGGCACAGGCAAGGGGAGCATGTGCCTCTCTGATGGTTGATGTATACGACTGCTGTGGTGTTGTCTGACCACCAGGACCGTCTGCCTTCTATGAATGAGCGGAAGTGTAGGCGGGCTTAGAGGATTGCCTGTAGTCCCAAAACATTGATGTGGGAGCCCTGAAGGAGGCCGGAAGCTTGTTGCTGGTGAAGACAGGACCCCCAGCCCATGTTTGAGGCGACTGTTTTGAACACCACGTCGTGTCTCAGGGTTGTAAAGGGGAGGCCAACAGTCAGGTTGTCTCTCACTGACCACCACGCCCAAGGCCAGAAGGTGGAGCCATGCTCTCGTATTCACCTATTGTTGAAACATGGTGACGTACTCCACTAAGTTGTCTACACAATGTTCCATAGGCATAGGCGTAGTAAGAATGTTGTGGAGATCGAGGGTTGCACTGAGGTAGGTCAATTTCTGGGGTGAGGTGGGTCTGGATTTGTCATGATTGATCAAGAACCCCAGATGAGATGCAAGGTTGTACATGGCTTCGGTGGCAGCGATAGTCTCATTGTTGGAGCGGGCCAACGATTAGCCAATCATCAAGGTATGGGAAAATGTTGATGTTGGAACTACTGAGGTGAGCTCCCATGGTTTTTACCATCCTGGTGAATACTCTCGGAGAGGGGGAGAGACAGAAGGGAAGGGCACAAAACTTATATATCTGAACTTGTGATCATCACTGTGGATGGGAATATGTAGGTAGGCGTCCTTCAAGTCGATCAAGAATCCCCATGCTGAGATGACGAGAAACTGCATCATGTTGCGCAGGGTCTCCATCACCCCCTCCCCGTGGGATGAGGGGGACATCGGGTGGTGCCACATTGAGATTGCGTGAAGCCACTGAAGGGGCGAAAGGAGACTGGGTAGTAGCAGTCTGAAGGTCGGGAATTTGGTTGTAAGGAAGGTGACAGATGTCTGTGCTGTCTCAGTTCCAGCCTAAAATCACGGCTGGTCTTGTGTGGAGTCTTTGGTGGCTGGCGGAAAGAGATCTTCTTGGCTGTGTCAATTCACTTTAGCTTCGGTTTACAGAAGATCCACAAATAGGCCCAAGAAAAAATCTCTGCCCAACATGGAAAGATTCTTCAGCACGAAGTTGCTGAAGTCGTATGGAATGCTTAGAGCCCCAATGACATTTTCTCTATGGGCAGACGTAGCGCAAAAAGAAATGTAGGTAAATTGCTCAAGGACAATCAGTAGGGACACGTCAAGGCTACGAAAGGACAGAGCAGCGAGGTCAAGAGAGATGTCTCAGCCCCCCACCTATGCCCAGGCTAGGAACTCAGACAGGAACAGCAGAAAAGACATGCATTTCATGCCTGTCCGGGCTGCATGATCCACATCCCAAAATGTCTCCATCTGATTCTTGATGTTCACGGAGAAGGTGGCTAATTTGGAGGACTTGTGTCTGTCTGCTGCCATCTTGTTCTTTTCTGCATCACGAATAGCAGGCAAAGAGAGGTAGGTTTTGTAGGTAAAGTGAAAGTAACTGCTAGAATGAGTGCTGAAGGGATGCCAACATTTCACCTTAGCCAGTCTGACCATGGTGTCAATGCAAGTCAAGCGGGAGCTCTGGGAAGATGGAAATTGAGGTGTCCGTCATTCAAGTGGCACACCTACCAGAACAAAGGATGATCCGGGGTGCCCTGTTGTGTTGTTGGAAAAGGGAGCCCAAGAATTTGGACCATCTCCTGCTGGAGTCGACGGAGGCGAGACTCAGCCAGGGATAATCTGCCTATCGAGAGAGGTTTGTCCTTGTCTGACAACAGATCTGGATTGATGATAGTCTCAGCTGGACATGGGGCATTGGTGCCCTGTTGACTCTTGATAACTGATGGTTGATGCTGCTGTGATGGTATGGGTTTATTCTCTTGTTCTGCCCCAAGGTCTTGCGTGTACGTAGAGGGCAGAGGGGGCAAGAACTGATCCAGATTCGGGTGCGTAGTGGCTGAATGGTGAGAAGGGTAGCACTGTATGAGCATGGACAAGGTTTCCGATATGACGCGCAGCGCTTCTCTAAATGAAGGAGAATTGTCCTTATCCTTTTTCTTGGAAGGATGAACCGAGGAAGATCAGGTGTCTGACTTGCGTTTCTTCCTGGATGAGGACTCTGACCTGGAAGGGTGCATAGAGGCCGGATTGGTCGGAGATGTATCCACAAGTGGGTTCTGTTGTGTGCGAGTGTCGCCAGGATTAATGACAGCATCGGTGTGTTGAGTAGCCTGATTAATCAGGGAAGGAGGCCAAAAGCCCCGGTAGGGAAGGAGACTGAAAGCCCTGTTGGCGAAAAAGTTCAGGAGGCTTGGTAGATCTGACTGGAGATTAAGCATTCGTAGCCATTGCAGGCCCGGCCCCAGTAGCCATATCTGATGCAGAAGCCCCGGCAGGGCAGGAGTGTGTAGATGCTGCTGACCGCTTGGCCGTAGATTTGACAACTGGCCATGGTGAGCACGAACGGGCGTGGTATTTCAAAGGGAGAAGTGCTGTGAGACTGCCCTGTCTGGTCAATGGTCAGAGAGCGATGACTGGGCCCATGGATGATGCAGGTAGGCACTGCTGATTTCCTGGCTGTGAAGGCTCAGTGAATAGGCATGGTGAGCCGGCTAGGGTAGCAGGTTTGCCTGAGACAATACTGTGAGACCGCCCAGCCTCAGCAACAATCATGGTACGATGCCCGAGGTCACTGTAGCTCCGCTGCACCATGGGGAGTTTCTTGGTACTGCGTTGTGACTCACTATGCTCCAGTTGGCCTGTTGAGGAGAGCGAGTGGGCTAGTATTAATTCTAGCTTGGAGAGGACCTATGTACTGCCAGTAAGGGCGGTTAGAAACTTGGTGCCTATGCTTACTACTGCCATTCCAAACTGGAGCTTGAAGAGTTGGGGCCACTGGGTTGTGCCTCTCGACCTAAACATGTACAATAACTAAATACAATGGAAAGTGACAAGAAAGGAACATTCCATCACAATCTTTATTCAGTTATAAATAAGAGATGCCAAAGAACACAACCATAAATACAGTATGATAACCAATGCATATAGAAGTGGCACGGGAGAAAGTCTCATCACAAGCTTTACCATGGTCACAAAATGGCGACAACACACACCAATACATTCACAATAACATAAGGCACTGAAAAGGTCTCAAAAATGGAACAGTCTTACCACAAACTGTATAACGATCAAGAATAGTTAATTGGGAAGTAGAAGTTGATTGAGAATTGGCATAGAACATAGTATAGTGAGCGCAAAAACTCTTGAAAACTGGGAGTTGGACAAAACATGGCCATTTGTAATGGCGCTAAGAAAAAGAGGAAGAACACGGTGGCCGCTTCACTAGGTATTGCGTCAGATGAGGGTGCACTACCACTTGATTGAGAATTTAGCGAATGGCGAAATGGCCTAGGGAAATATACAAATGTATTGGTAATCTGGGAAGGTTAAGGGCAGTGGACTGGATAGTTTTCCAAATACATATTTGCCTTACTTGCTCAATGGCCTTACCTAACCTCTTTACTATGATTTTCCTGTACAATCTCCAATTACAAAGTCTGCACATTACATCCAATCCTTTAGACCATCAACTTATTTACCTGGAGGTGGGAAGCCCTCGTGTGCCACAAAGAACAACAAACTCCACCAAACAAGGGCTCTGAATTAGTGGGGGAGGGCCTCCAAAAATGTTAACAAACTAAGCAAATTGGCTTTGGCAGCTTCCTGTGCAATCTACAGTGCAGTGGCGTAAATTTGTGTTGGAAATTGGGGTGGGTGTGGGGTGGGGGGATGACTTACCTGGCCATGGAAACTTGAAAACTTGATGCACCATATACACTATATTAGGGCGATGTTCATGATAAAGATGTACATCGGTAATGTGGATCACATTCATGCAGAATCTTACATCAGAATGGTATAATTATGGCTTTCTAAACTTGCTTGCCCTTCGTAGTAAATATTGCAAACATTTTAGTTGTTGGGAAATTCTGAAACTTCTTCACAATGCACTTTAATTTATCCCATCACCCCATCTCCAAAAATGTGTGGGAGATATATAAACCCCATCCTCCTAAGATTTACGTCATGCTAAAGTAACAGGTCTGAGCCATGGTGGGTTGACATCTCACTTCTCAGCAAAGGGAGGAGATCAGCATAGTGATTGCACACTGATGCTCTAGAGAATTTGTTTCCTTGTAAGCAAACAGTCAGGGGCCCTGTTCTTGGATACCGGAAGTGAAGACGGCCTAGGCTGTCACCGCAATATCTTAATGTTGGTGGAGAACGGCACAGAAGGGGATCTTCGCAGTCTGGGGCATCAAAATGTGTTCCAGATCTCGTAGGGCTAACCGATTTTGATTGCTTTTGACTTGTTGATGAAGATGGCTGATTGAGAAGTTGCATGTAACCACTTGGTATGATTTTGTAGCCTATTGCAAACTTGTGATCGGGATAGTGCACGGAATCGTTGGTCATGAAGTACCTTTTGAAACTCATTCTGCTGTCGACACAAGGGCCACTTCCTACCAGAAGCTTGTTTTTGTCATCCGTAGAACACATGGAAACTTCATCGTTGAAACATGCAGCCATTTCAAGGGCACAATTTACCGTAGCATGACAGTAATGTGACGCATGATGATGAAGGCCCAAATCATTTCGTTTTACGCCGATCTTGGCATCAACGAGGGCATGGTATCGATGGCTTGCTGTATGTTGCCGATTAGGAGGGATGAGAAGGCACTGGATACTTCTGGTACTGATGCATAACTCAGGGATTTTCTTGACAACTTCCGTTTTCAACTGACATGCAGTTACCCCAACCAAGGACCACGTCTTTGATCGTCCATGATGAGCACCAAAACCGTGTTCTTGAAGTGTGTCGACCACTGTTGGCACAAGAGATGGGAACTTTTCATGAAACGGCTTTCTTCCATGTTTTGTGGGAATTGCACTCTGAGCAGAGATGGCAGGACCATCAAAAAGCCTTTTTCTGGACAATCTGGTCACATGTTTAGGAGGCAAAAATACAGGACAGTCAACTGGCTTCTGCGGTGGGGAGAGGACTCTTGTAATTGGGCTGAAAATTGGGGCTCCTGGCGAGAACGATCAGCGTGGTGGAGTGAGCTCCATTTTGACTGCAAATGACATTGCCGGAATAGTTGTTGCTATGGGCAATGTGGCTTGTGTAGCTTGTTGATCAATCAGTGGCTGCAATGTTGCTCAGTGAAGCAAACAGGGTCTCATGAATGTGCTGCCTCCCCACTTCACTGTCACATCAAATACATGTACTGCTCGTACTATAACCTGTGACCAGAATATTCTATGAAATTAACCACATACGTGTTCAAAATGAACACTTGCACTGGAGAAAGATTGATGGATACCCATCCTCCCAAACGTTTTGGTAAGTAAATTACATTATTTCAAAGTAGTACGTTTTTTTAGTTGAAGGTGCCACTTTTTACAAGTGCAACAAATGTTCAATGGCAACAGCTCATAAATATAGCAAATAAATTGATATCAGCATTATTTCCCTTAGAAGACGAATATAGAGCTCAAGTTCATTTTTCATGCTTATTTTCCATGACAGGCGAAGATTGTAGCAATGAATCTGATGATGATGTTCCGCTCACCGGTCTGAGAACCAAACTTTGCACCAACATTTAGAACAAACTCCAACGTCTTGTGTCCTGTACTCAGCCCGTGGTCTGTGCTATCTCTTCAACTCCAAGTTCCCAGCTGCCATCACAGGCCGACATTCTACTGCTCATGCTTAAAATTTTGTGAGACGTTCAGGCAAAGGTGACATCGATCCAAGTGCAGCTCGATCGCCTTGAGAACTGACAAGAGAGCTTCCGTGAGGGAGTGAAGCATCTAGCTGCAAGGATCGACAACGGAGCCGTGGCCGGTGCCCTAAACACTCCTACCACATCGTTGACTATCAATGAACCTCAGACCCCGTCAGTTGACAGTAAACCTGAGCCTGCACCTCCAGTGCAAGAGTCTCAAGTCCAAGAAATACCAACTTCAAGCTGCACCATCAACCCTCGATTTGTTCCGGGCAAGGCGCCAGACGAATATCTTCTGGGTGGCAACAAAAATATGGTTCGTTCGGTGTCGGAGTACAAGGTCATTTGCAAGGAGGTCAAGAAAGGGAAGCGGGAAGCATCCAATGCAGACCAAGGCTGTTTGCTGTGCCTCAACTTTATGGGGAGGGAGATCCCGAAAGAGGAACCGGCCCGCAAAAATGTGACTGGAAACTCCCTGACAAAATCAACAAAAAGTTTAAAATACGGAGCCTTTGATCGGGAGATCGTACATAGCATCTTCCAGCAGGCCAAACTGCAGTTTCCGGACTTTCATGACTGGTACACTGACCATAGATAAAAAACTGTTGAGGCAATCAACGAGCAATGCAAACAGATTTGACAGGAGTTTTAAGGAAAACGTCTCAATCGAAGTGAGAATGCAGTTGTGAAGATTTTATTTCCAAAACGCCATTTATCTATTTGAAAAACGTCAGAATATTTCAAAGAGATTGTGAAATTGAAAACAATAAAAACAGCATGACTGCAGTTATTTCTAAACTGCACGTAATTCATCAAGTTATATTTAGCAACCTTAAATCTGTTGAAAATGATTCCGGATAGCAAAGGAGAGGGACTGTCACGTTTTGGAAATGTCAACTATCACATTTTAGAGACTAAATAATAATAAAAACGGTTCGCAGTATAATCCATTTTGTAAATTATAATTTGTGTTTATTTTTGGTAGAACAGATCAGTAGAGTATTCGACGTTGGATTGGAAATAAAGGTGAAACATTTCTAAAATGATTTAGTATTGAGTTTGTTTTTGTTGAGTGTTTGTTTAAAAATTTCTTTAAGGTGTAAATGAATCAGCAATATCAGCTCGCGAAGAAACTCTGGACATAATCTTTTTTAATGGAGGCGATAATTAAGTCCCAGGAAAAAAAAAAGTTTGATTGAAAGCAGCTTCTTGTACATGTACATTCATATTAAATCAAACAAAACTCAATATCCATTAATTCAAGGGTGGCCAATTGAACTGCAATGTAGTTTAAAAGCGATTGTGGCTGGGGGATACATGACTGAATATAGTATCGCTTGTGATCTTAAGTTTTCATGGATGATTTTTTTCTGCAAGATCTAGAAATGCTGCAGAGGTTCCTTGCAGAAGTCAATGAAAACAAAATAAGATACATTGTGCTCAAAGTGGTGCAATGCTTGTAACTCGATCATAAAAGGTGGTGATGGATTTCATGTGCTGGCGAGAGTACTCGACTGTAATACGTTTGGAGATCAAACACGTTGATGACTAATGTGCCTAATTGCATGGCAGGGGCTTTGATCTCTGCCGACGAATGATTCTATTGTATAGCGCTGAAGGATTAAAAACCACAAGCAGGTTTCTTCTGGAAAAGGTGACATGTACCAGTACTTGCAAACAATAGACCCCAAGATAGAGAAGTTCGAGATCAACAGCCAGTCCAGCATCCCAGGCTGGTACCTGGACCAGTATGAAAGGGGTTTTTGCAACAGGGCGAGCTTACTGGGGGGGCCTTTTCAAACCAGGTCTAAATGGTCGCCAGCCCTTAGAAAACTTGGCAGAAATACAAATTTTTCTTCTACTACTGTGAACACTCTTTTAAGTTGGAGTTTTGCTAGTTTTCTTGAGTGTGCCTCTTCCTTTTTGATATAACTCAAAATGCCTATACAACAGTTTACAGAAAGGGGAAGCCATGTGTGAATCTCACATTAGTCTGCACAAGGTTCGCAAAACCTTCATGATGCAAACCTCTGTTGTACACAGGTCGACACTACATGTGTGTATATAAGATTGGCACACCCAGATAGGTAATACATAATAGAAGTACAGCACCTACCATGTACGTCTTAGCTTCCAGGGGTGAGAATATCCACTCAACATTAGCTGTTTCCCCAGCTGAGATCTCACCGTACGGATTCAGGCACTCAAAGACTTTATGACTGAAGTTTTCCTAGAAATGAAGCATATTACAAACCAGATATTTTACACAAGTTTCACTGCTTGAAAAATGTGAAATCCTATGATACCTTTAATCTACAGCTGATCAGTAAACTACACAGTGATGTTTCCTTATGGCTTACCTGCAAAGTATACTCTAAAGTTGTCAGATCAAGCTGATAAGTTACAGGAATAGCACCACCATTGTAGAGCTCATACACCTGCTTTGGATGACTTGCCACACCAATAGGAACTGGAGCAAACATATGTTTGTTGCTGGGAAAGTGTACATACTTGCGATCAGGCTCCACTGTCACACCCACAAAATTAAGCTACGACAGTTTGTGGAGAAAGGAGAACAGGCAAATAAAACTTATACATGTATTTCAACATGCTATTAGGTACTCAATCAAACAAAACAGAGCATTGTACATGCGTATTAGACATTGTCACCAGATGGTTGCAGTAAAATGCAGTACCCTCTTCATGATATAATTGGATGTAACCTTCCTAATCTTTGTGCACAAGAATAAAACTGAACAAGTTTAAATGTTATCCTGTAATAGAGTATGTAATAAAAGTGATCAGATTTTTTTTTTTGGAAGAGGGGGGTGGCAGGCAGAAGGGTGGGTTAGAAGTTCCATACCAGGATTTCTCTGCCTCTGGTCATTTTGAAGAGCATGGGCAGTCTGTCTGTACCAGGGAAACTATGTTTGTAAGTGAAGGTGATGGTCTGACACTGTCCTGGTCTAAGCTTGCCACAGCGAGGTTCAACACAAAACAACTTGTTGTCCATGATCCTCATCTGCATTTCAGGAAAGACAGCATTACATTAATCCACATGGGTTGATCATGCATACATGTACATGTACATTATATCAATAATCAATTGGAGGTACAGTATGATCACCGTGCATTTTTTATCTTTCCTTTGCTATCCATTTTTTAAATAGTACAATACTGACACTCAAGTCTACCAACTTGCTGATTCAGAACTATTTCCTCTCAATATTCTATTGAAACTTACTTTACCAATCAATATGCCTCTTTAAATGTCATCCACATAGGTTTTTAACCCATGGTTGTGAAAATGGAGGAGAACATCAATGCCTTTGTAAAAACATGCTATAGTTTCAGGCTGAACTAACCACATCACAAATATCAGAGAGAGAGATGACAGAGTGCACCCCTCTCATGTGTCATGTAATCAACTAGCACAGTCACACTCTGCAGATGCCAGACAATTAGCCACTTTTATCTAGATTCACAAACATGGCACAATTTGTCCAGCCTGCAAATGCATCTAATAAGACACAGATGAAAAGGGCATTGGACAAGGGAGGTTTCCTCCTGCCAGCAATTACATTCTTTTTCAAGGATGGATTTGCGCCCGGGAGATGTAAATTAATTTTAGATTTTGCCCTGCCCGACGTGCATTTAACACTTTATACTCAGTATATGCAGCAATCGTCTGCACTACTAAGCAGGAGGTCGTGGGTTGGCGTCCCACCCAAGAATGCTCTTTGACAAGTCTTCGGGGGCATACACTGAGTATACAGTGGTAAATACACGTCGGGCAGGGCAAAAATCCAAAATTAATTATGTTCTTTTCAGGTTACAAGTGCCTGCATTATACATATACACAACCACTGACTATTAGTGTCGACTAAATAACACATCACGTTGTACTACTTCTGGTTCCCATGCCAGACCATGTGAGTGGGTGTGGATCAAGCTGCAGTCATCCCAAAATTACAAACCCGATTTATGTAAGTTTTGGACAAGTTTGTCCATGACGTGAATTCTTCTTGAGACCATACTTTTAACATTTTTTGTTTTAATCAATGTATGAGAACTATGGGACATGCTTTTTCATTAAATAGTTGGGGAAAAGGTTTAACATATTGTGATATCTGGGGTTTGGAGGTAGATCGTCCACCCAGAAACCAGTATACAATGAATTTATCTTTTGAAAATCAACACGAGATTTATAAGAGGCAATTTCTGTCCACAACCAACTGGGCCAATTTTGAAATATGCAAAGTCAAATGTTGTGTTTGTGTTGGGTTGATGATGTGTACAAGATTCCTGTCTGAAACTACAAACTGCACAAGGCTGGGGTATGATTTATTTTATGACAAAAACACCACAAATCATGCACTTAAACTTGGTGTATGGAATGATCAATGCAGAACCGTGCAAGAACATTGCATTTTGAGCATGCCCCTACAACAAGACTTGTAGTGAAGATACACTGTGCTTATAGCTGTATCTTTCCATGACGTTTTGGGGTCACCAGAGTATTATTCAAACATAATGGCGAAAAACTGACACAGGGAAGCATATTTTTTTGGACCTTTTTTTGATCATAAATGAAAAAGAATGTTCCACTTGTTCGTATTAATTTTGGAAGAAGGTCTTGTCGCCAATCACATTGACCAGAGTAACAAAGACTGGCTGTTTAAAAACATGTACAAAACTTATGGGTCAAAATGAAATACCCAAAATCGCTATTTTAAAAATAGGTGATGACATCATCATGAGGTCATACATTAAGGAAAATGATCTTATCAGGGTCTTTGTTGACTATTACTTTGATAACCATCATACATTGTGAAGTTATCATAACAGTGGCCTAAAACATGTACAAAGTCAAAGGCCAAAAAATAGATATGCAGAAAAACTGCTCCTTTAAGTTAATGACACGTAATTTAAATTTAAACTGACAGATTTTTATGAAATATCACTTGATATTTTGACTCTTGGGTATAATTGTGATCAAAAAAAAGGGAACATTTATTCTGATTTTTCTTTCGTTCTGGTAGTAATTCTCAGTGGAAGTTAAGGACTTCTCAATCATTAAGCTAGATAATAGTGTGCAGTAGAAAAATGTGTTAAAACCCTACTGCAAAATATTAAATATTCAAAATTCAAAAATGAATCACTGGATGATGTCATTATAATGAATTTCTTATAGAACCAACCTGACATGATTATCTAAAGGTCTACTAAGTTTGCAATCAATCAGATAAATAAAACTATCGAAGTCTCCTGTCACAAAGACAAAGAAAAGAGTTTTAAAAAGGAACCAAAATATAGAGGAACTGTGTCTGTATTAACAACAGAACACAGGGCTTGTTTTGTGGTTGTGAAGAAAAGTGCTTTGTTGGCATAACACAACATGTTTGAGAATGTTCATATTCATACACTTAAATATAAAGATTTTAACCAAAAAAGACACATGCTTCAGGAGATATACTTCTTTGAAAACTGCATCCTTAATGTCACGTGATGACATTATCATCACGTGAGGGCAATATGCGTGTAAATCACTTCTTTTTCAGGATATCTGCGACGTTTGAACCCAATCGAAAATGTACTTCACGAGACATAGTGCTTGTAGAAGTGGACCTTTAATATAATGTGTCTTGTCAAATGATGATGTCATCATCATATCGGGTAATAGTCATCTAAAGCACATGTACTTCACAAGATAATGTGCTTTGTAGAGTGCACCTTTAATGTCACGTGATTTGTCACATGATGACTTCATCATCACATAGGGTGAATTTTCATCTATAACACTTTGCTTTCTAAATACTTGCCAAGTTTCAACCCAATAGGACATGAACTTCAGGAGATATAGCACTTTGAAGGATGCACCTTAAATGTCACGTGACTCGTCTGCTGATGACATTGTCATCACATGAGGTCAATCTGCTTTTATACACCTTCTCTTCTAAACTATATGCAAGGTTCTAACCCAATCTGACATGTACATACAAAATACAACATAAAACATTATTGTTATCACAAAAAGAGTGCAGATTAGAGATTGCATACATTTTTCCCTTTTGGTGTTCCATACAATGCGATCTGCTCTCAGCACTGTGTGCCTGGCAATTTTCCAACTCCTGAGTACATGCCCCATGCAGTGTGTGCTGCCTATGTTACAGGCAGACATTGCAAGTCCACACACAGTAACCAATGCACAGTAGGCGAATGGGATTTTTGAGTTTGCAAATATTGTACATTTTTTTTTTCACTGGCACTTCATATGTGTGAAGAAGTATACCACTTATGCACTTCATGCAGTTGACTTCAATGTTTTAGCTATCATCTAATGAACAATTCACGCTTAAATCTGTTACGGTCATTTTTTTACCGAATTTTTGAAGAATAAAAGGACTTTTTATTATAACTTACTGTCTTCTCACTGTCATCGGCCCCAAATTTCACACGTGTTAACTGGGTGAAAATGATCATCTACATCAGTTTTCAGGCGATTTGGACAAACTTCTCCACAGACATCTACTCAGAACTTCATTTTTCAGAATTTTCAACCTGTCGCTAGAGGGTGCTTGACAATTACGTGACGTCATCAGTAGATGATTTGAAGAATACTATACGCCAAGAGAATGACACTGTTCAAAACAACTTCATACCTATTACCACTTTTAATTAATCAGCCCACTTCCAGTTTCAACCTGAAGGAAGGGTCACGTGATTTGACCAACATGAGATGAATTGAAGACCATATTATGCTTTGCCACTTGCTGCAAACAGAATTTTGCGGAAGGCCACGGTTGATTTTATATGGATTTTTACAACATTAACGTAATATTTAAATATTTAACATTTAATAAGAAATCACTTAATGACGTCATCATGACATAATTATTTTATTATTATCTTTGCCTCGAGGTCTTTCCTTGGTGTAACTGTGATGTCGAAGATAGCAAAGTAACAAAAACGATGCCTCGAAAATGTGTACAAAGTCAATGGGCGGAAATAAATATTGAAAAACAGTAAGAAATCACTTGATGATGTCATCACGACGTCATTCTTCTAGACACATCTATGCATAAGTGTCCCTCATTGGTAACAGTTTTATGAACATCCAAATTTGCAAAAGCACTAAAGTCAAGGGTAAAAAACGTGCACACAACAAACAGGGTTTGGATCAGAAGAAAAAGGAAGAAAAAAAAAAGAATTATTAGGAAGCCTTTTTCACAAAATGCAAAAAAGCCCCCCCCTCCCAAATTTAACGAAAGCAATAGCTGCTAAGGCAGTACACCGAAGCAGTTAAAACCCAGAGATCCAGATAAAGACTGGAAAGTGGCAACTATTTATACTGAAATGACATCATAATTTTACTTATAGACAGGCAAATTTGCATTTGCAAAAGTTAAGGTCTTCAAAATGCCCTTAAAAAGAGCAAAATGAAAATGGAAAAAAAGCTCTTTTGAAGAGGAATAAAATCTGTATTGGAGATAGTGGTTGCATCTGACATAATGCATAAAGTTTTGTTGGCACATGTGACTGTATCTGTGCCAATGCAGCCTTCCAGTTATGAGAGGTATTGCCAAAGAACTAATTATGAGTGATGATTGCAGCTTGAGTTTAACTGCCTCTAATTGGTATGAGTTCATTGCCCTCTCATCTCTGTCTCATTTCCACACTTGTGTCTCATAGTAATACTACAACTATACTGGCAGCAGCAACAGCTTACTATAACTTATTAATTATTATAAGCTCATGTACGATAAGAAATGCCATTATAGCTGAATCTATTACAGCTACAGCTACAACTTTTATTACATATTGACAATGATACAAATTCCTCATAATATTTTCTTTCAAACCTCATGTAATTCATCAGCATCAAAATCTCCTGTCTCCGCCCAATACTCAAGCTCAAGCTGAAGATCAGCAGGGAATGAAAATGACCTGTCCAAAAACAAATTGTGAACACAAAATGACTTTCATGCAAATGGCAATACACAAGTACTGGTAAAAGTAAATGCACCAAAACACACCTAAATGAATTTTGCTCTCAAGGAAGTGAAAATTGTTTCACATTTTATGATCTCCTGCAATATTTCTGCTTTATCTATTTACACTGGGGACATATATATTGAACAACTCTTGACACTTTTTCATTTACTTCCCTATTATATTAATTGGCACTTTTCTCTTAAAAACTTGTCTAATTTTTTTTTCAGAATGTAAACTTTACTGTGTACTCTTAACAACCGACAAGGATTACAGTGAATGTGGTAGACGCAGCTGTTGAAATTGTCACATTTAATTATTATAAGCTCATATATGATAAGAAATGCCATCAACAATGAAAGTACACCATTTTGGATGTTCTGGGGGTTGATGTCCTCTTTAAATTTTTAGCTGTTTTGGGCAATGGTCCAAACAACTTTTGTTTTTCTTATGATTGTCTTCTTTTGATTTATTTTATTCTTCTTTTTATATTTTCTTCCCATTAAAATGATACAGGACAGGGATGTTCTATTCCTAATTCCCTTCAAACGTGGCATGACAGACTACTGTTTGGAGATGTATGCTAAATCATGACACCATCATGATGTCACCAGAAGTCACGTGATAAGCCAACAGAGTCCAAACTTTTACAAGCTAATATCTCCGGAACTAAAGGTATAAACCAAAATGTGTTATGTGAGAAAAATGGAATGACATCATGATGTCATCAGCTCATTATTAATTTTTGTTTTTAATTCTCCATATTTTAACATTCTGTTCAATTTACCTTAACATAACAAGATTTTTTTAAAATTCTTTTGGACAACCTTAGCTAGGGAACGTAGATTTGTGTTATTAAGAAAGATTTGTTCTAATGCCCTCTCTCAGCCTTGTCATGCTGTTCAAAATTGTTGTGCTTACTAAGTAGACCTATATTGGATTTGTGCCGTATTGTATTATTTTTGAGGAAACACATAAATAGAAAGTGTAGAGGAATGATACCGATTTGTGGTAAACCAGCCTTAATGAGTAATTAACTTTGTTTCACATGTATTTTTATGGCTTTCTCTAATGTATGATGCAAAAAAAGTGTGCACAACTGTGCTATGGTACACATACATGCCCATTAAATTATTACAACAAATGTGGGCACGGATAATAGTCATTTTTGTTCACCCAAAAGAGGTCACTGAAATAGCTCTGTGTTTGCTACCTAATAAATACAAGTCCTGTTCAATTTGGTTTTTTATGTTTGGTGGTAACAACATATTTCCAACTGAAGTGAACTACTCCTTTCATTTCACTTTCATTTTAAAAGTTGTTATTTAAAATCCCAATATTGGATTGAATTGCAATTGAATACCTAGTGATAAGGTCACTGGGATTTTACACATGACTTTTATAACAGGTACCTTAACACTATCTTAACACTAACCTTAACATTATCAGTAATGGCAAATAATGAACACAAAACCTTGAGGACCTACAACTTGTAATGATAAACGTGATGTTGTTTTAGTGGCACTCTTATTTTCAATGTTTGACTGCATCTAGATTTCATATTTTTTTATTATTTACTTTAACTGTAAATAAAATCTCATCATTTGTCTTAGCAGTTTTCTTCTAAAATTGGCATTGCAACGCTTTCACTGAATTTCACTCTTTCAGCATTTACAGTATGCTCACATCTAATCACCAATCAACTTTCAGTTTAAGTACACACAGAAACCATTGTTGAAAATGGCTATTTGAGTACGACAATTTGAGTATCATTTTAGAAAATGGATCAATCACTAGAAACTCCCATTTTATACAGTCATATCAAGAGCATTAATAGTTTGAATTCACTATAGATTTCCATAGCTAAAATAAGAATTTGCATATATAAAATCCATTTGGATTTTTGAGGTATTAAGAGTGTGTACAAACTACAATCCGTAGTTGGTGACTGAATGGCCATGTGATGTCATGAGTATGTTATGTGTACGTGAGGGAAAGGAAAACAGTTATGCCTCCATCTAAGTTGTATAAGACCTGGGCCAGGACTAAAGCTAAAGCTTGAACACACATATACATTGCTAGCCAACACTGAACAATCAATCAAATTCAATTCATAGTACAAAGCATTAATGAGTATCAACACTCATTGTTCCCCTGCTCACAGGACAACAATTGAAGATTCTTCGTTTTGAATGAGCTCAGGTGTTTCTTGTCTTTGCCAATTTGAATCGAAGCCTTTTCGCATTGTTTCTCTTTAACTCCTTTTGGGAACCATCACAGCTCTGATTTGTGTGAGAGTGTAAATATGTATATGCAGGTAGATTATTATAGGCAACATTCCGTAAATCTATTTGTAATGCTGCCCAAGGCAGTCTTAAGAAAGAATGAAGTCCAGTGATAGTATTTGAAATGGCATTGATTTGACGGTGAATGATTCATTATTTGCAAAGTCTAACACTATTTAAAGAAAGAAAAACATGTGAAAGAGATATCTGACCATTCAGTGGGGACTGTGCCTATATTCTCCAGCATAAGATGAACAATGCATGGCTTGCTGTCTTGGGGAGCTCCACTGAAGTTGAAGTCCATGATGGCTCGTGTATTTATAGGTGATTTCCGTGTTGTACTGCGACACATCACATTAGGATATGTCAGCTCTTCAGGGGATGGATCTGACTCCAAACACATGTTTAGTCTGCAAATGATACCAAACAATACCACCAAAATTTGAAAGCTTAAGGACCTTTAAATACACAAAGTAAAACATTTGATCAGTGGTTCAAGCTTTACTGGAGGCACATGATGGAAGATTTCAAGCATCAAAAACAAATTAATGTTAAACAGAGAATTAAATTTTGTCTGCTCTGAGTGAGAGGAAGAGAGGACATGTTTTGTGAAGTGAGAAACCTCAAGACCAAGTCTCAGTGTATGAGATTCCTGTCCAAAAATACAAGTTTTATTTTATGACAAAAACACACAAAATCATGCACTTAACCTTGATGTATGAAACAATCAACGTGGTGGACAAGAACATTGCATTTTGAGCATGCCTCTACTACAACACTCATATGTGAAGATACACCCTGTTTACAGCTGTATCCCTCTGAGACGTTTTGGGAACACTGGCATATCATTAACCCTAACAGTCCTCAATCCTCCAACAGGTGAAGGATTGAGGGCTGTGAGGGTTTATACATTATGAGTGTTTCTGAAATCGGCACAAAAGATATTTGCAGAAACCCTTTTTTCCCCGGCTATAAATGGGAAAACTATTCCATTTTTTCATGTTAAGTTTGGAAGACAGGTCTTGTCACCTGTTGTTTAAAGGTTGTAATTGGGGAAAGAAGGGTTTCTTTACCCGGCCTCTTTTAGTAGACATACTTCATTAAATTTGAATAACCCTGTATATAGACCTAATTCTTACACTTATCATGATAATTCTAGTTTTAAATGTCCTAAATACTGTAAAGCGCGCCATGGAGCATCATGATGGAATTGGCACAGTATAAATGTATCATTATTATCATTAACTGTTGTATGCATCACAGAGGTGGCAGCAAGTCATATTTTGCAAGTCCAAGTCAAGTCACAAGTCATTATATGCAAGTCCAAGTCAAGTCACAAATCATTTGGTCTAAACACAAGTCAAATCACAAGTCTCTTTGTCCAAGTACAAGTTAATCTGCATATTATTTTGTCCAGCTGTACCAAGCAAAAAGAACCAGGCATCAACTTACAAAGTTACAAGTTAAAAAATATATGGGGCCGGTTGAGTAGTGTCTGACTTGGGTTGTTAAAGGATCCAGGGAATGAATTTTTCTTAGAATCACTTCTTCCATTTATGAAGACTGTTTGACATCTTTTTTGAGTTACGTGAACTGAATGGTGCACTTTTTCAAACATTGAAAATTGACCAAGCACTTCTGGATAAGTGAGGGCGCTTTTGCTTTGATGTAAATCCAGAAAGACATGGTTCAGGGTGGATGTTTTCATTTTCAAATTGTGAATCCCAAATTTGCTATCTGGGAACATTTCTGTGAAAAGGATTTTGCAGGATTATTGCCATATACTTACGCAGCAATAAATTGCCAAAGAAAATGAAACCTCCTATTGCAGTTAAAAAATCTTGAAATTTCCTGTGCACAAATCAGTGCAACATGTAAGCTCAGTGCTTTGGATGAGATCATAGTTCTGCTCATAAATATGCAAATATGCATTAGCATAAAACAAAAAAGCATCAAAATATGGGTTAAAATTGCGTAACAAAACTTTGAAATAAGGTTAATTGAAACCCAAAGATGCAATTTCAAGGGTTTTAGTAAAATTTATAAAAATATTTCTGTTTCCTGGTTCCTTTAACAAGTCATTTTTTGCAAGTCCAAGTCAATTCACAAAACAAAGCTGGTATTTACAAATCAAGTCACAAGTCACAAAAATAGTGACTCAAGTCCAACTCGAGTCCAAGTCATATGACTCGAGTCAGCAACTCTGATGCATCATTATTATAATTCACATTGCTGCTAATGATTTAACGCAGCTAAACTTTTTGTGATTCTGCAGACACCAACCATCATTATAGCTGTATCTATCTTTAAAGCAAACTTGAATTTTCAATTCTGATTGGTCGATCCTTGGCAACAACCCGTGTGACATAAACTGTGTTACACGGTCCATGTCAAACCCCGCGTAACGCGTTGTTCGAACTCCATGCAATGTGCTTTTTTAAGCTAAGAGAAATATGCACAACTGCAAAATTTACTTATTTACATAGGCCCCTATAATATCTTTGAAGACAAATTCGTTATCATGCTTAGGCTTGTGGAACACTGAATTTTGTATCCTTGTTGGTTTATTCAGAAGATAAGAAACCTTGAAGCCTAATGTCTGCATTGCGTTCTTATTTACAAACATTTAAATTAATAAGGAAGACCTACAAAAATAACATATTACTAAAACATAAGTTACAATTTGTACAAGGGAAAGAAAACCCCCAGCTGAACCAGAAAGGACATTACAAGAAAAGAAATACACAACAAACACATAAAAGGAAAAGACAATAATAACGCTGAGACAATCTTAAACAACAACCATTAACCCTCCCTTCCACCAACCTGGTAAAACATACCACTATTAAAGACTTTTACACAGACGAACAGAGAAAACAAACAAACAAAAACCACACACACACATAAGTGTGTATT